TTCGCCCTGCCCCACATGGTGGTTAGAAGAAGAGGAAGGCCATCGCAAACGGGATGTTCGACACCGAAAGGAAATCGAGCATCTTGGCGCCAGACGTGTAATCTGCGACATTCTTCACGCAGTCCTTCACCTTGTCGAAGGCGTTGACCAGAGCCGCATCCTCCACAAAGTTCAGCTTGACGTCGTCGTGTACGATCTCACAGCCGCCGGTGATGCCCTCATCGTATTCGGCCTTGATCAAAGTGCCATCCGGCGCGCCGCTCTTCTTCGTGACTTGGAAAAGACGGTAGCGGAAGATCGCGAACAGGCTTAAGGCGTACCACTTCATCATGGGTTGGTTCGACATACCGAGCTCCAAGATGACCCTGTTGGCAAACGCCAAACGAGCAGCGGTGGCAGAACCCTTTCTCCTGATGCCTGAAGACACTTCTTCCACGCCGCCACTGGCAATTCGTGCGTGCGTGATGAGGAGCACCACGACCAATATCACCTTCGCCTTGCGAGCCATGCTGACGCTGGCGACCAGCGCTGAAGACAAAATGAGGCTGCTAGCCACAAGAGAAACCGCAGCTCAGCCACCGGCGAAGCGCACACGACCAACCGCGAGGAAGCCTGAGCCAAAATTGCTACGGATTGTTTGTTGTTGCTTGTTGTGGTTAGTTTTCCTTGGTGTTGAATGCAGCGTTGACGGCCTGTTCAAAAAAATGCGAAAGGCTAGGTACTCCGCCAGGGGCGCGCACACGTCAAAGAACGAACAACATCAACCAACGAACAGCCGAACAGCAACAACCAACAACAAGAGCAATCAATATCGAATGACCAGAACAAATAACAACAACAACAACAACAAGCAACAACGACAACAACAACCACATCAAAAACAGCAGCACCTCATCAACAGAAACAACACCAACAAAATACATAACAACCACAAAATCAAAATCATCAGCAACAAGAACATCAAGACAACAGCACTACTCATAACCATATCAAACATAACAAGAACAAAACATCGCAATTCCCTCTTGTATGGCGGACAAGTGGAAAGTACGAGAAACCCATCAGACCCGTAGTCGCCGAACAGAGACGGCGTGCAACCAGGAGCTGGTCACCCCGACGACTACTACTACTACTACTACTACTACTACTACTACTACTTCTACTACTACTACTACTACTACTACTACTACTACTGATTCCACTACTACAACTACTCCTACTACTACTACTACTACTACTACTACTACTACTACTACTACAACTACTACAACTGCAACAGCAACTATTACTACTACTACTACTACTACTACTACTACTACTACTACTACGACTACAAATAGTATTTCTACAACAACAACTACTACTACTACTCCTACTACTACTATTACTACAACTACTCCTACTACTACTACTACTACTACTACTACTAATACTACAAGTGCTACTAGCTGCTACTACTACTACTACTAGTACTACTACTACTACTACTACTACTACTACTACTACTAACGCGACTACATCTACTACTACCACTACTACAACTTCAACAACTACTACTACTACGACTACACATAGTACTTCTACTACTACTCCTACTACTACTACTACTACTACTACTACGACTACGACTACGACTACTACTACTACTACTACTCTGCTACCACGACTCCTTCTACTACTACTTCAACTACTACTACTACTACTACTACTACTACTACTACTACTACTACTACTACTACTACTACTACTACTACTACTACTACTAGTACTACTACTACTACTACTACTACTACTACTGCGACTACTTCTACCACTGGGACTACTACTACCACTACTACTACTACTACTGCTGTACCTGCTGCTGCTGCTATACTACGACTGCTTTGACTACTCGTACTAATATTCGGACGACTACGACTACGGCTACGACTGCGACTACGAGTACGACTTCGACTTCGACTACGACTACGACAGCGACTACAGCTACTACGACTACGACTACGACGACTACTGCTACTACGACTATTACTACGACTACTACTACTACTACTACTACCCCTAATTATAACTACTACTACTACGGCTACTATTACTGATACCACTACTGCTATTACTACTACTACTACTACGACGACTACTACTACTACTACTACGACTACTACAGCTACGACTACTACTCCTACTACGAGACCTTCTTCTTCTTCTACTACTACTACTACTACTACGACTAGTACTACTACAACTACTGGTACTACTACTGCTTCTACTACTACGTCTACTACATCTACTACTACTGCTACTGCGACTACTACAGCTACTACTACTACAACTACTAGTACTACTGCTACTCCTACTGCTCCTGAAACTACGACTACTATTACTACAACTACTACTACTATCTACTACTACTACTTCTACTACTACTACTACTACTACGACTAGTACTACTACAACTAGTACTACTACTACTACTACTACTAGTACTACTAGTACTACTACTACTACTACTACTACTACGACGACTACTACTACTAGTACGGCTACTACTACTGCTACTACTACTACTACTGCTACTACTACTACTACTACTACTACTATTACTACTACTACTACTACTACTACTACTACTGCTACTACTACTACTACTACGACTACCATTACTACTGGTACTACTACTACCTCGGCTACTACTACTACCACTGCAACTACGACTACTACGGCTACTACTACTACTACTACTACTACTGCTACTACTACTACTACGTCGACTTCTACTACCACTACTACTACTACTACTATTACTACTACTACTACTACTACTGCGATATGCACGACTACGACTACGATTACGGCTGCGACAACGACTACGATTTCGCTTACGCCTACAACTACGACTGTGACTAAGACTACGACTGCAACGACTACGGCTACAACTACGACGACTACTACTACTACTACTACTACTACTACCCCTAATTATAACTACTACTACTACGGCTGCTAATACTGCTACCACTACTACTATTACTACTACTACTACTACTACTACTACTACTACTACTACTACTACTACGACGACTACGACAAATACTACTACTACTACTACTACTACTACTACTACTTCTACTACAACTACTACTGGTACTACTACTACTTCTACTTCTCCTACCACTACGACTACGACTACTACTACGATTACTACTACGTCTACTACTACTATTTGTACGACGACTACTACTGCTACTACTACTACTACTACTACTACAACCACTACTACTACTATTACTAGTACTAGTACTAGTACTCGTACTCGTACTCGTACTCGTACTACTACTCCTACTACTACTACTACTACTACTACTACTACTACTACTACTACTACTACTACTACTACTACTACTACTACTACTACTACTACTACTACTACTACTACTAATAATAATAATACTACTACTACTACTACTACTACTACTACTACTACTACTACTACTACTACTACTACTACTACTACCTACACTACTACTACTACTACTACTACTACTACTACTACTACTACTACTACTACTATACTACTACTACTACTACTACTACTATACTACTACTACTGCTACTACTACTACTACTACTACACTACTACTTACTTCCTTCTACTACTACTACTACTACGACTACTACTAGTAGCAGTAGTAGTATTAGTAGTAAAACTATACTGCTACTACCACTACTACTACTACTCACGACTACTACTAACTTACTACTACTAATACTACTACGACTACCACTACTACTACTACTACTACTACTACTACTACCACCACTACTACTACTACTACTACTACTACTACTACTACTACTACTACTACTATTACTACTACTACGACTACTACTACGACTACTACTACGACCACTGCTCACCTCATCCTCATCCTCATCCTCCACCACTTCCTCGTCCAACGTCACCATAATCATCATACTGCTCCTCCTCGTTCTCGTCACCACCGTATGCAGCGCCGTCAGCATCACTATAGTCATAGTCATGTTCATCAGCGCAACCACCACTATTATCATCGTCATCCTCATCATCAAGCCCACCGCATCCCCATCCCAACATCCTCGCCTCCTCCTCCTCCTCGCACGATCATACTGATGATGCTGCAAGAGCCGTCCCTCCTCACGCTGCCCCCTGGCGTTCGGTCCATGAGTCGGGTCTCCGGCAGCCGCTCGGGACGATCGGGGCACCCCCGGAGCCCTGTCGACGAGGCGCAGACGCGGGACGGCGTTCCGAGGCTGGGAGGCCGCCGAGAATGGACGAGAAAGTTTGAAAACCTCGGGTCTCGATTCCGAACTGAAACTTCATCCCCCCCCCCGAAACCAAAAGCTCATCCCCCCGAGCCGCCCGAGAACCTCGAACCGTCGCAGCCTTGCCCAGAACCGTCCCTCCTCCCAGGCTCCGTCTCTCGCCCAGGGCAGCAGCTCTTGGCGGTGCGCACAAGGGGGTGGGGGAGGGGGGAAGGCTTCCTAGAAGGAGGCTGCTTCTCAGAAGGCGCCGGCCTTACACAAGTACAGATAAGGCCCGCGCCTCCTGAGAAGCAGGGGTGCCTCTAAGAAGCTTTTTCTTTTCCCCCTCCCAGACCCTCCCCCCGTCCCCCCTCTGAGCGTGGCTGGCTCTCCGAGGTGCGGATAGCCCACGGGGGGGGGGGGGGGCACAGCGGCTCCAGCCGCCCGTGCCTTCGACGACCCTGAGGTCCGCCGTCACGACAACGTTGCACCATCTTAGAACACCTCGACTGGAACCCTGGACTCCGTCCTTCGCCCTGGACCCCATCCGAGACCTGGCGAGAATGCCTAACGCGAACAAAATTGCAAGGCCCCGATGTCACGGAAGACATGCAATGCCCGCCCCTGTCGCAAAAGCCCCCGACGTCATGACTGCGCCGGCCCCCCGGAGTCTGCAGACCCATTCCCTGGGACGGATGCCTCCTCCCGAGAAATCTCTTTTTTTATCAATCTGCAGAGGCCTCGCTCTGACCAGTCTCTCCCGTGACAAGACCGCACGTGGGCAAAGACGGCCACAGCACGAAGCGGCCGCTCCGCCCAAGTGCACCCAGACGTTCAGGTCCAGGAGTCGAAACGCAGGAGAAGCATGAAGTACACATACTGCTGCGCCGTGGACATTGGGCACAGCCAGCATGCTTACACAAGACTGAAATCGCTGAACACAACCTCGACAATGCCTGAGCTGGCACGACGCACAATGCACTCACTCACTCACTCACTCACTCACCATTCGTTTCTAGTGCGGCAGCACATCCTGGTCACCCATAATACACAGCAGCTCTCCCCTCAGTAGCAGCCCGTGTTGTTGTACCTGCACGGCTGGTCCTCGAAGCAGCACAGGCCGGGGCAGCTGGAGTCGTAGACGATGGGCAGGTCCTGGTTGATACCCTCCACGTCCTTGCACTCGGCGTCGTTCGTGGCACGGTGCCCTTCTGCGCGCCAAGGCTGGGGAGTAGCAGCCCGTGCTGTTGTACCTGCACGGCTGGTTCTCGAAGCAGTACAGGCTGGGGCAGCCGGAGTCGTAGACGATGGGCAAGCCCGTGTTGATGCCCTTCACGGCTTTGCACTCGGCGTCGTTCGTGGGCGCCGTCCTCACCTTCTGCTGCGCCACGGCTGCGGAGTAGCAGCCCGTGTTGTTGTACCTGCACGGCTGGTCCTCGAAGCAGCACAGGCCGGGGCAGCTGGAGCAATAGACGATGGGCAGGCCCGTGTTGATGCCCTTCACGGCCTTGCACTCGGCGTCGTTCGTGGGCGCCGTCCTTACCTTCTGCTGCGCCAAAGCTGCGGAATAGCAGCCCATGTTGTTGTACCTGCACGGCTGGTCCTCGAAGCAGCACAGGCAGGGGCAGCTGGAGTCGTAGACGATGGGCAGGTCCGTGTTGATACCCTCCACGGCCTTGCACTCGGCGTCGTTCGTGGGCGCCATCCTCACCTTCTGCTGCGCCAAGGCTGCGGAGTAGCAGCCCATGTTGTTGTACCTGCACGGCTGGTCCGCGAAGCAGCACAGGCCAGTGCAGCTGGAGTCGTAGCGATGGGCAGGTCATTGTGATACCCTCCACGTCCTTGCACTCCGGCGTCGTTCGTGGGCGTCCTCACCTTCTGCTGCGCCAAGGCTGCGGAGTAGCAGCCCGTGTTGTTGTACCTGCACGGCTGGTCCTCGAAGCAGCACAGGCCGGGGCAGCTGGAGTCGTAGACGATGGGCAGGTCCTTGTTGATACCCTCCACGTCCTTGCACTCGGCGTCGTTCGTGGGCGTCCTCACCTTCTGCTGCGCCAAGGCTGCGGAGTAGCAGCCCGTGTTGTTGTACCTACACGGCTGGTCCTCGAAGCAGCACAGGCCGGGGCAGCTGGAGTCGTAGACGATGGGCAGGTCCTTGTTGATACCCTCCACGGCCTTGCACTCGGCGTCGTTCGTGGGCGTCCTCACCTTCTGCTGCGCCAAGGCTGCGGAGTAGCAGCCCGTGTTGTTGTACCTGCACGGCTGGTCCTCGAAGCAGCACAGGCCGGGGCAGCTGGAGTCGTAGACGATGGGCAGGTCCTTGTTGATACCCTCCACGTCCTTGCACTCGGCGTCGTTCGTGGGCGTCCTCACCTTCTGCTGCGCCAAGGCTGCGGAGTAGCAGCCCGTGTTGTTGTACCTGCACGGCTGGTCCTCGAAGCAGCACAGGCCGGGGCAGCTGGAGTCGTAGACGATGGGCAGGTCCTTGTTGATACCCTCCACGGCCTTGCACTCGGCGTCGTTCGTGGGCGTCCTCACCTTCTGCTGCGCCAAGGCTGCGGAGTAGCAGCCCGTGTTGTTGTACCTGCACGGCTGGTCCTCGAAGCAGCACAGGCCGGGGCAGCTGGAGTCGTAGACGATGGGCAGGTCCTTGTTGATACCCTCCACGGCCCTCACACTCGGCGTCGTTCGTGGGCGTCCTCACCTTCTGCTGCGCCAAGGCTGCGGAGTAGCAGCCCGTGTTGTTGTACCTGCACGGCTGGTCCTCGAAGCAGCACAGGCCGGGGCAGCTGGAGTCGTAGACGATGGGCAGGTCCTTGTTGATACCCTCCACGGCCTTGCACTCGGCGTCGTTCGTGGGCGCCGTCCTCACGCTCATTTGCTCATGCCGATTCACCTGCATCATCTGCGAGCTCTTCTGGAGCATGCCCATGTCGTCCTGCTCTCCCGCAGCGCACTGCTGCCCTACAGCGCAGGAAGCTTGCGCGCCCGACGCGTGCGCGAGTGCCAACAACGAGGCCGCGGCGATGAGGAGCGCCATCGGCTGCAGACTGTAGTCTTTCTCGCTTCTAGCAAAGCAAAGACAGGCGCACTTGAGCCAAAATCGCGTGAGCTAGAATGGCTTGAGCCAAAATGGCTACGGGGAAGGAGGAGGAGGAGGAGGAGGAGGACTTCCTGGGGGGGCGGCAAATGGGGACACCTGCTGCATGCAGCTGGTTGCCGCCCCGCCCCCTGGGGCCCGTGCCTCGACGCGCGGGCGCCTCCCAGCGCCAGGGGGCGCCATGAGAGGAACTCTGCCGTGCCGCCCACCCCGAAGATGGGGACGGGGGGTAGGAAGAAACATGCACCTTTCGTGTCTCTCTTGGGCCCCGAGGGGGCCCCTCGAGGACGCTCTCCCCCTCCCCCCCTACATTCAATTCTCGGGACGGACGAAAGGGCGGGGTAGTGAAGGGCAGGGTAGAGAATCAGCTCACGTGGCTGGCTCTCCTGGCGCCTCCTGGCGCTGGGAGAGGCGCCCGTGTATCGAGGCATGGGTCCGGTGGCGGGGCGAGAACCAGCTGCCTGCAGCAGATTTCGTACCCCCACTTTCCCCCAGCCCCGGGGACGCGCAAACATGGATTAGCGATCCTGGCGCGCGGTCGCCAAATCCATGGATCGGGGGAGGTGCCCTCCCCAAAATGCGGCCGGTGCCGCCTCGTTCGGCGGCGGAACTCCGCGATCTCCGACGGAAACGGGGCCCGCCGCTAATCCAGTTAGCGATCGCCTGGCATCTCCCCCCTTCTCCCTGGACCTCTCACCGGGTGTGTTCTGACCAGAACTTCGAGGCGAAGCCAGCGGGGGCGACGAGGGCCTCCGAGGAGGCCCAACAAGGCGAAAACGGTGCCAGGGCAGCGGTATGGGTACATGTTTCTCTTCCCTCCCCCCTCTCGTTCGGCCAAGCACTTTTGTCGCCCCCCCCCCCAGGCACGCTGGTCCGCGGAAGGGTCCGGTGTCCGGATTCTGGGCGGGCTCGGCTCGAGGGCGGGCGGGGGCACTGCTCTCCTCCCTCGCTGCCTCCCTGCTCCTCCGCGCCAGGCCTCTTCCCGGTGAGCGTCTTGGTCGGCGTCTCGACATTTGGCGGAAAGGGGGGGGGAGGGGGGCCCTGACTCCGGATCCGCCCTACTTTGGGGGAATTCGTAAGTAGGGCTTGGAATTTCCGCCTTACTTTTCAAGCCCCGCTGAAGCCAATTTCCGCCCTACGTTTCTGTTGCTGTTTCCGCTCTACTTCTGTAGATTTCCGCCCTACTTTATGTTGGGTGCAAGAATATCCGCCCTACTTGTTCGGCTTCTTATAGGTGGATTTCCGATGCAATTTTAAGTTGGGAAAAAAAGCCAAAGTAGGGCGGATCTGGAGTCAAGGGGGGGGGGAATTCTGGCTCCAGACCTCTGCTTAGTGCGACTGTTTGCAACCGTGCGTCTTGTGGGGGAGACTACACATGCCTGAAACAAGCGCCCCCTGGAGGGGGGAGGGGAGGGGTGCGAGGGCCAGAACCGATCGGGGTCTTCTCAGAACGGGTCGGCTGCTTCAGGGTGCCGAGTGTTGAGTGTCCGGGGTTTCTTGTATCTCCCGTCGCGCCGCCATCCGCGTCGAATGCACGTCGGCTCCGCGTCGAACACGGTGGAATATATGACGAGTTCGCGTCGACTTCGCGCCAGCAGCAAGGAAACTTCACGTTCGGCCACGTTGACGGATCATCTGCGAGCAAATGGATGTGTCCTGCGCCTCCACTGAATCGAAATTCCAGCGCCGCCGAGCTGCCTCAGCGAGAAGTGCTCCTCATCGAGAAGCGCCTCACCGAAAACGAAGCAACGAGCTGCCTCACCTTCAGCACCCGAGCTGAAGGAAGCGCGCTGCCTCATCTGCAGCAACCCCGAGCTTTGGTACGAGGTGTGACTGCCGCCCAGGGGGGAACAGCAAGGGAGGGAGGAGAGGAGGAGGGTAGGGTAAGTAGGAGGAGGGAGGAGAGGAGGAGGAGGAGGGAGGAGGAGGAGGAGGAGGAGGAGAGAGGAGGAGGGAGGAGGAGGGTAGGGAGGTAGGAGGAGGGAGTAGGAGGGGTAGGGAGGAGGAGGAGGGAGGAGGAGAGGAGGAGAGGAGGAGGAGAGAGGAGGAGAGTAGGGTAAGGAGGGAGGACCCATACCTCCAAAGTACCCGCGCTCTGGCTCCGGCCTCGGCCTCCTGACATGGACTGAACCAGAAGATCCTCCTCCTCCTCCTCCTCCTCCTCCTCCTCCTGCTGCTGCTCCACCGCGTTCTCCGCCTCCTCCTCCCTCCTCCTCCTCCTCCTCCTCCTCCACCTACTCCTCCTCCTCCTACTCGTCGTCCTCGTCGTCCTCCTCGTCGTCGTGAACCAGAAGATCCTCCTCTCCTCCTGCTGCTGCTGCTGCTCCACCGCGTTCTCCGCCTCCTCCTCCCCTCCTCCTCCTCCTCCTCCTCCTCCTCCTCCTCCTCCTCCTCCTCCTCCTCCTCCTCCTACTCGCCGTCCTCGTCGTCGTCTTCAGGGTCGGCGGCACCGGCCGTAAGGCCCGCACAATCGACCGAAGCAGAACCTGGGGCGAGGCTCCCTCGTATCCCGCGAAGGGAGGGCAGACCCTCCATGTTGCATGCTCATTCTGGGGACCTTCCTGGAGCCACTCGCTTCACTCGTGCGTCGAAGCTGCGTCGAACCTGAGTCGAACCTGAGTCGAACCTGCGTCGAACCTGAGTCGAACCTGAGTCGAACCTGCGTCGAACTTGAGTCGAACCTGAATCGAACCTGAGTCGAACAGATCCGTTAGGTGGGCCCCAGGAAGGTCCCCAAAACGAGCATCGAATCCATGGCACCAGAGGGCAGCAAGGGCCGAGCCGACGCCCCATCATGATGTTCCAACCTGCTGCAGCCTTGACCGCCAGAAAGAATTCCGAGCATCAAGAAAGTACCGAACTGGGGGGGGCTTTCACGCGTTGGGCCCTGGGAGGCGATACATACTCGCCCCTCGCGCGACACCGTTTCGATACCGTTCGGGGTGCTCGAGGTTATGTTGGGGATGTGGCCTTGTTCAATACGACGGGAGCAACATGAGCTCCCTCCCAGAGCGCAGGGGAGGCCAATTGCCGGAGGAGGCCCCCCCCGGGCCGGCAGGCAGGGGGGAGGTGCAGCATCTGCGCGGCAGCGGGAGGAGCGGGGCTGTGCTGGCCGCCTCCTCCTGCTGCCGCACGTCTCCCCGTCCCCCAGCCTCACCTCCTCTAGATGTTTCTCTTCGTCCTCGGCCTCCTCTACATCTTCCTCCCCCCTCCGTCCCCCCCCCATCTCAGCTGGAAATGCCAGGGCCCCCACACAACCTCAGAAGCCCCGAGGCCGCCTGGGGACCTTTGACACGATCCAAAAGCATGAGACGCAATCCCCTTCCTGCTTCCAGTTGATCAGCCTTCTACTCTCACTCCAGCTTCTCAACCGCTGTTTCGTCTTCCGAACATCGGAAAGAGGCTGACAACCCCAAGACACCAGGACAACTTCGAACACCTCATCCTTCTCCCTCTCACTCCTCCCATCCTGAAGTTCCGTATCCTCCTCCTCCTCCTCCTCCTCCTCCTCCTTTTCCTCTTCCTCATTCCCATCCCCCCCACCCTCCCTCCCGCCCTCCCAGAGACAGGCCTCACGCCAAGAACGCCCCCAAACCACCTGGAGCCCCCTATAACCTTCCCCCTCCCTCCTCCTCCTCCTCCTCCTCCTCCTCCTCCTCCTCCTCCTCCTCCTCCTCCTCCTCCTCCTCCTCCTCCTCCCCCTCCTACCCCTCATCCACATCCTCATTCTCCTTCCCGTCATCCTGCTCCATCCCTTGTCCTTCTTGATATCTCCTCCCTGTCGCACCCCGAGACTTGTCGGTAGGGTGGGCTGGGCGTTTCGCAACCCTTCGGCTTACAAATGTTGAACAATTTTACGGACGGATGGTGCGTCGCTTTCCAAATGCGCTTCTGGCCTTAGTGCGAGTTTCACGGATGGAGGGCGTATCTTTTTCAGCATGTAGCTCTCGCCTTAGCGCCGCGCGCATTCGTCTTAGAAGTTTGGAGGAATGTCACGGATGGAGGGCGGCTCCTTTTCAAAAAGTGGCTCTTGCCTTAGCGCAGTGAACATTCGTTTTTAGAGTTAACAGCAGTTTCAGCGATTCTCGGATGGTTGCCGTCCCAGACTTGGCGGTGTTGCACAAGGTAGGACTGTCAGGGCGCAGCAAGTGATTCGTGGCGTTAAAATCCCAGGAACGGCGTTCTAGCACGATCCAGGATCGTCAGGACGCTACACTAACGTTAATTCGCGGCGAGAAAGCTCCAATAATGGTGCTTTGGCACGGCTCACACGGGGCAATACCCCCAGTGAAAATCAATTCTTGTAGCGACATGTGAAGAGGAAACTTGCAGGGAGGTGTTGTGTTATTGCACAATCATTGATTGGTATTGGGTTTGCGCTGGTCCTCCTTCTCCTCCTCCTCCTGTCCTCCTCCTCCTCCTGTGCTTGCCATACCGCAAACACCGAATTGGAGTGACCCTAGCCGCAGGGGCCAGAAGACGAAAATGGCAGCACTGCGGGCAGGCCTATTCTGTCGATCATGGTGAATTGCTTGTCCTGCGCGTCTGCGAACTCTGCCGCCGCAGCTCTTGCAATTCCTCCTGCTCCTGCTCCCATATCGTCATCCTCATCCTCGTCCTCACTGCCTTCATACTCGACACCATCCGTAAGACATCCCTGGCACCTCCCCCATATTGGTACTCTCTCCCTCTCTCTCATTACATATACAAACAATATACAAATAAACAGACCGATAGTAAGACCGATACGAGTAACATCAATCACACGTGTTATTCTGTACACGTGTGACTTATACATCTCCCCTACGCTCGGGTACGTTTGCTTAGTGTGTCGCGGCGGCGGCCCCAGCGACACGCCATGCTCTGCGAGCGGATAGCGGTTCGCTCCGCTCCGCGGGGAGGGAGGCCAAGAAAAGCTTGGACCGTTGACGCTTTTGGGC